CGACGCTGCGGGCGCGGGCGCGGGCGCGACCATCGCGGGGCGTCGTGCTCGTCCGCGCACTTTCCTCCTCCCTCCTCGGCCCGGCCCGGGCGCACCGGCGAGGCAAGGGTGCGAGCTCGCGGGCAGGCAAGGCGCAGGCGTGGGCGCGTGGTCGAGGCGGACAGTTTGGGGCGGTCTCCGCGCTGGGCGCCTTCACCTACACCCGGACATGCATGTCCGTTTTGACACCCATTGCTTCCCCAAACGGATAAAATCCGGACGAAACGGACGTCCGTTTGGGGTCGCGCGGTGGAGTTGGCCTAATGATGTTTCGAAATTGGAACAAGAAAATTGATTTCTTAACGGCCCATATTATATCATCATCATCAGAATCAGAATCAGAATCATCATCATTTGGAGGGGAGAACATTTAATTGACATAACGGAAACTAAAGAAAAAGCTTGAGCTTAATTTCGGGGGCGACAGCAACAACAGGACTCCGAGGGATGGATGGGTAAATTTGTGGTGGTGGCTTCAGTTCCCAAAATGGCTAAGAAGAAGACAGATCGCCCCTCCTCCCCCTAGATCCCGCGTCTCGCCGCCGGCCACCGTCCGTCCGTCCGTCCGTCCGTCCGTCCATGATCCGTCCGAATTTAACTTGGTTACGGCGGGCGGGCCGTCAGCACGGCGGGGCGGCGAGGACCTGCGGCTGCTGCTGCGGCGGCGAGGCGATGAACCGGTGCTGCAGCAGCTGCGCCGCCGACGGCCGCTTCGCCGGGTTCTTCTGGAGGCAGCAGCTGATGAAGCTCCGCAGCTCCGGGGAGGCCGTGGGCGGGGCGGCCGGCGACTCGGAGTAGCAGATGGCGCACATGAGCGCCGCCCAGTCGCCCTGCTTCCCCAGGTTCTCCCCCAGCGGGAAGCGGCCCAGGTAGAACTCGAGGATGCTGAGGCCGAAGCTCCAGATGTCGCCGGCGTAGCCGTTGTAGTTGCCGTCGTTGAGGTCCGTGTTGATGCGCTCGGGGCTCATGTACGCGATGGTGCCCACGGAGGAGTTGCAGGGGTCCATGGTCTGGTTCAGGATGCGCCCCACCCCGAAGTCGGCGATCTTCACGCGCCGCCCCGAGTCGATGAGCAGGTTGGACGGCTTGATGTCGCGGTGCACGATGTGGCGCCGGTGGAGGTACGCGATCCCCGACAGCACCTGCCGCGCTACGTCGGCGAGGAAGGCCTCGGACGCGATGCGCCGGCCGTCCAGGGACCCGCCGTCCATGTACTCGAGCAGGATCTGCAGCTCGCCGGCCTGCTCGTACATGCCGTGGCAGCGCACGATGGACGGGTGCTCCGCGGTGCGCAGGATGGCGATCTCCCGCGTGATCTGCCGCCGGACCGCCTCGTCGTGGTGCCCGTAGAGCACCTTGAGCGCGTAGGCCCGGCCCGTGGGCGCGTGCCGCACCAGCCACACCGTCCCGCCGGCGCCGCTCCCGACGCGCCGCACGCGCTCCAGCTCGCCCAGCGGCGGCGGGGCGGGCGGCGCGGAGCCGGCCGAGTTGGGCGGGGTCATGGACATGGGCATGGGCATGGACGACGCGCCGCCCGACCCCGACCCCGACCCCGAGGACGACGTGGACGACGGCGCCGAGGACGGGGGCGGGGGCAGCGGCAGCGGCACGGCCAGCGACGTCAGGTCGCGCTGGGGCAGCGGCAGCGTGAGATCCGGCCGGCGCCGCGCCCGGCCCGGCGTGCCGGGCTGCTGCTGCTGCAGGCCCGGCCGCGCGTTCGGCGGCCCGCCCGGACGCATCGCGCGCTCTGGCCGGCCCGAAACGCGAGGCTGGCTCCTCCCCTGCTCCGCGCGGCGGCCGGATCGGTCGGCGTCGGCGATTGTCGCCGTATGGGGCGGGGTGGGGTGGGGGTGGGATCGATCGGGTCGGGGAAGAGGGATTGGAGGGAGGCGAGTGTTTTTTATAGCCGCGAGGGAGGCCAAGGGACGGGGAGGAGAGACGGAGGGAGGGAGCTCTGCTCGCTCGCTCGCTCGCTCAGCCGAGCGAGATGCAGCCGTGACGCCGGGGGAACGGCAGGCCCGGTAATAAAAGAAGCAACTTTCCCACAGCTCTTTTCTCCCCCGTTCGTGCTCCGTTCCGTTCCGTTCCGCTGGTTTGCCGTGTCCGTTACATCCTGCCTCCCGGCCGGCCGGCCGTCGCCTCCGTTATTACTCTGCAATTCCGGAACAGCATTCACTTCGGGCACAGTCCAAATATTGCAGTGCTTATCACGCCACATCTTTTCCACGTGACACATAGAAACGGGAAATTTATACGTTCCAAAAGATGAGCGTCCGTGTCTGTATTGTGTTTGTTTCAAATGCAAAATTGGTGTATGGTTATCATACAAGATAGCCGCGCAAGAACATCGACTTTTTAAGAATTGCGGTACGTATTTTATACCCCTCGATGGGTATAAAAGTTCTGTTCTCTGATCGACGGAATTCCCATGTACACGCCCTCGTTTACGATTTTTGTTGTCAAGACTGTTTATGCAATTATTCTTGTATACGTGCGCTTGTATCGGCCGTTACCGGGAATTTGTTTTGTCGCATGGCATTAAATCTCGTACATGTGATTGTATAAACCGTTGATTTGTTTTGTCGCGCATCATTAACTCGAGTACATGAAGTACATGTGAAGAGCCATGTCGTTTTCGACGGGAGGCATTGCTTTTAGGAAATACTACCCGCGCTTGCAAGCGGCCACGTTCCTTCCGGACAACACACCTCCCAAAATAGTCAACTAGCACGAGAAACTACCGTGGATGGACAAGATAATCATGGGGAGGAGTTAGGGTTTCTAGTGCCGGCGGGTAACTGGATTGGGTTGGCGAGCTTGATGGTGGTTTGGTGGATAGGAAGACCGGAATACAAGTCTAATTTTCGGATCCATGAAATTTCCTTATACTTGTCCCTCTTTGTGGTTTTCGGTCTCAAGACCGTTTCCTAATTACTTCGATAGGTGCGCTTGTATCGACCATTACTGGGATGTAGCCGACAAGCTTGATGGCAGCGTTGAGAACATGAAGATCGGCCGTTTCGAGATCCACGGACTTCCCATATACATGTTGCCTTTTATGGCTTTCACTCTATAAATCATTTTCGTAATCACTTGGATACATGCGCTTGCATCGACCGTTACTTGGAATAGGTTTCGTCACATAGCATTTACACACATGCGTGTCCTTGTATAGACCATTTCTAGGAATTTATTTTGTCAAGCATCATTAGTGCGTGAGTACATGTGGTGATAGAGGTCGTTTACCGTTGAAGAGTTCATTTAAAAGGTTACACTCAAGCTCCCGGACAGCCACCTCCTTCGAGACAGCGGACATGCCCAAATAGTCTCCATTAGCCAGAGAAACTTTCATGGATGGACAAGACGATCATGGGGAGGAGTTAGGTTTTTAGCACTGACGGATAATTGTGGTTGGGTTGGCGAGCTTGATGACGGTGGAGGGCAGGAAGACGGTATACATGTTTTGTTTCCAAATACATTAAATTCCCTTATACATGTGCGTTGTGAGGTCCTAAAATCTTTACAAAACCATTATGGATGCCTTGGTTAATTTGTTGGGTTAAAACTAACTATAGTTCTTCTTCTTTTCCAACGCCTTTCCCCGCACTCCATTTCTTTTCACCTCACACTCCCATTGCAACTCACATTCAATATGTGCTCATCCTTGATGTGATACCCTTGTCATAGTACGTAAACAGTCTCGCCCTAGTAAAGCCTAGCTCTAAAACTAGATGGGTGTTTATTAACCCTTAGGTGGCCGTTTCTATCAAACCTCCTCACCATTATCTTCCTCGTCCCGCCGCTTATCTTTGCACATCTAAAGTCGGAGATATCGCATCACCCTGGTGTTATCTATCATCGTGAGTCTTAGCAAAACCTTCATCAAATTCGATGCTAATTATTGTTCAATTGTATAGTTTGCCCCTAGTGAAAGACCATGAAGTATTTTTCTGTAGCTTCCTCCCAACGCACATCTAACGACAATTGAGAGTCTGGGCTCTTAGGGATTGTTTAGATACGGAGGATTTACTAGATACGGTTTTTCCTAAACATATTCATGTTTATAACTAACTAAACATTTGTTTGGTTAGCCAAACAACTTTAGGGATAGTAAGTCTTAGTTTTCTACTTGTCTTAAAGACGAAAAACAGAGTTCTTCGAAGAATAACCTAGTTAGGGTATGTCTAGTGTGGACCAAAACACGATTAGGCACATACTTATTCATAACATAATTCTTGGTAAGCAAGCTTTCCAAAATATTTCTACTAAAACATGTTCTATTAAAACTATGCGCTAATTTTATTTATCGAAACAACCACTACCACTAGGTGTGAAAACAATCTTTTTAGACTTTTCAAGCCAACTTTGGTGCAAAATTCAACTAAGGGTTGCCTCAGTGCATTGACTCTTAATGCGTCATCCTAGGTGGTGAAAATAATTTAAAGACGGCCACCTCAATGCATTGTCTCTTAGGACACTCTCAATCCATCGTGTTTTAAGGTGTCATCACAGGTAGTGCGAAGATGTTAGAGAGAAACACCACAATGCAATGTCTCTTATGAGTTGTATCTAAGTGATATTGCATTTAAAGGTTTTAATGGAAATATTTGGATCTTAACCTTCAGACCCTTGTGAAGAGAAGAGGAGTAAAAAATAGGGAGATAAGTCACACCTCATCGAAACATTAATTATAATATCATCTAAGCATTTTGCTTATAATAACATGCTAAGGGGCAAGCATTGAGAGTGCTCTTAATTGGCATTTAAGTGATGTTGCATTATTTGGTCTAGGGATAATGTTTGCATCTCAACATTATGGACTACTTGTCTATACTAATATATAAAGATCCAAAGGGCGGATCTAACTAATCTCGTCCATCAAACCATATGCATCCAATGACCTAGATTAATCCAATAGTGAGCGCTCAACATGCTTAGCGTGCAATCAAACATCATACCTAATAGTAATTTTAACATTAACTAGATAATTAACCATTAACTAATATCCTACCTTTCATAGACAAATATCCTACTACCTAATATCAGCAGGCAATAAATTCCCTACTATTTTGAAATCTAGTTTAAAACCCCCACTAGATATCTTCGTGCATTGTACGTACGCATTTACTACTGGAGACAAGGGAAGGAGCGACAAACATAAGCAAAAGCCACATTGGATAAAAGTATTAATTGTAGTATCACATAGGGAAATAAGCTATCAACTACTATCTCCCTTCTGATTTATAGGTTTACCCCCAAAAAACTGCATTTCCATTTTATAAGTCTCGGTTTTCTTGCTCCCCATCACATGTTCGGTCACGACTAGGCCGAGGTAGGATAAGAATTTCAATAAAAAAGAATGTATGAATCGGGCCCAAAATCATTACTGTACTACATATGTCGCGTGTTGCGCCACTTATTATGGTAGACTTTTTTCAGGAAAAGAGCAGTACTGCCCCAACTTGGACCCAAAGAAGAGCTAGGTTCGCCCCCTTTAGCTAGCGGTGGATGAGCTGATTCTTTTTCACTTTTGTTTCAAAGATACTAAACAAAGTAAAGTGTAGAACACAATGTTTGAGAGTTGATGGTTGATCGCCGCCCCCCTTGTCGTCTCCTAAAGGCCCCCTTGCTGTGGAGGCAAAGGGGGTTGCAATCGTCAGCCTTTCTGCCGTTGTATGTGAAAGAGAAAAGGTGACACATTTTTTCCTGATTTTTGGTTTGCGGTTGGTTGGGCCAAAGAACAAGAGTCGGTTTCCTTAAGTCCGTTCTTCCTAAGTAGCTCTACGGTAGAGCGGTCAATTGTTAACTGATTGGTCGTACATTCAAATCCTACATGGGGAGATTTTCTTCTCTACTCCTAGGTGCATTAAATTGTAGCATGTAAGGATTATGAGAAAACTCACCATTGCATGTAAAAGCTCTTGGAATTTTCTTGGTCACGACGTATTGCAATTAACGCATTGGAAAATATATTGTGTGTGTGGAAAATGAGCATCAATTGGTACTTTTGCAAATTACGAAAAATATGCTACCACTCACCATTTCCCTTGCTTGGGAGATTTTTTAATCAAGCCCAATAAACTGGAGGGGAGGGGGGGTATGTCTCACATATCAACATTTTGCCTATAAAATCGTGTTAAGAGACGAGCATTGCGAAATGCCTTAAGTTACTTGTAGTACTCCCTCCTTTTTGGGTTTATATTCCTCCCTTCTAGTTGAAAAGGCTTATATTTAAAAGTGACACCAAGCAAGGTACATGGTGAGTGGAGAGTATGAGTTTCATGGGTTCAAATCTGCCCAATAAAATATACCCCACATATTCGACTTCGACGCAATATGTGGAGCACCCTCCCTCTAAGGCTGGCCATAGTGGATTAACTTAGTTTGTAACATTCAAGTCAAGTAAGCCAATGCTTATGTGGCAACTATTGAAAAGGCTTATATTTAAAAGTGACACCAAGCAAGGTACATGGTGAGTGGAGAGTAAGAGTTTCATGGGTTCAAATCTGCCCAATAAAATATACCCCACATATTCGACTTCGATGCAATATGTGGAGCACCCTCCCTCTAAGGCTGGCCATAGTGGATTAACTTAGTTTGTAACATTCAAGTCAAGTAAGCCAATTTGCTTATGTGGCAACTAGTTAATAAAAAGAGAACTTTTCGTGGTAACATGACATGTTACTATAACACAACGCATCCAAAGGCAAAATGAATCTTCATCTAACAAATAAAGGCT